CCTGCTATCCTGCTTACGCCTATCTGCCCGCATACGCTGAGCTTCAGACCTATGCTGTTGAACGACAGCATGCTTTTGCGCATTGCAGTGCCCCGAAACTCCCGTGCTACCGCCTACTGCGCCTTCGACGGCAAGGGTCGTGTGGAGCTCCGACAGGGTGACCATATCACCATCGCTGCTTCACAGTACCCCTTCCCCACGGTGCTGTCGCAACCCACCGAATGGTTTGACTCCATCTCACGTACCCTGCGATGGAACAACCGAGGCGCTCAGCAGAAGGCGTGGGACGGCGATGCGGAAGGAAAGGACGATGAGCAGCAAGATAAAGGCTTCGACATCGACTTCGACAACGACGACGTCGATCACGATTCTGGGTACTCGGCTGAGGGATCGCAGTCTGGTGGCAGAGCAAGCCCCATCAGGAAGGGCATGGTGCTGCCTTTCCTGTAGAAGTGGGGCTAGCGAGGGGGAATTCTCGGCGTTTGCGCTTATGGGACCCCTCTTGCTACTGCTGCTTGGGCAGGTCCCAGTGGTTTCGGTGATTTATCTTGTGCACCCTTCTTCGTCTATCATTATATTGATTTACCTCCCCTATAAATAGGGTAGAGGTGTTGTGGATGTTGTTGGCCCGGATGGTGGAGATCTGGATGTGAATATTGGACATTTCAGCGAGCGCTTGAACTTAAGATATCCTAGTAGATGCGTCGCACATTAGAAGTATGGTATATAGGAGTAAAGTAAATGGAAGGTCGGACGCTGAAGCTGCTGCAGCCTGCGGTCTGATTAGTATGCCCATGCTTGCGCCCGTTCGCTTGTTTATGTTTAGCCTTCTACCACGCCAAGAATTCAAGCAGCCAAGCAAGACTTGGTCAACAAACTAGGAATGCATCGAGAGGAAGATCTGGCAGAAAAAAGATTTGTTTCTCTTGTACGTGGAGCGGTCCCTGGCTCAAGCTCACAATTGGCGTCAGCGCGGCATATTGACGGTGCATCGTGGGTCAAGTAGCTCCAGGACTCATTGATGATGATAGATAAGGAGTCGCAAACGCGTGCACCACCTATTAGGGTCATGCCACCTACTGTGATGATTAGTAAAACCAGCTTCGACTGCAGAATGGAGAATTTGCAAAATCTCCGATCCGCCGTCCTTCGTCTTTGTCTTACGGAAGGTGGCTCAACAGGGCATAGGTACAGAATGTGTAAGCTCGTACGAGCGCTGCAGCTCTGGACATCCGTCGAGGTTTGTTTTCACATCGATCACTAGGTCTTGGACTAGAAACGCGTTGTAGATCGGGGTACATCAGATAGGAGGTCGTGCGTCACACTGTGCAAAGTTGTGCGCTGCGACAACGCAACAGCCAGGCTTCGAGGCTGCAGGCTTGGGCAGTGAAGGCCTGAGCAGCTGACCGGACCTGAGGCTTTACAGCAGCGCTGGGCAGCAGGTATTCCGAGCGCAACCTTGCGTTGTCGAAGACATTGAAGCAAGCTATGCCCCACGCAGCCTAGCGCCATCGAAATGTGGTGCAGATCTCCAGGATACGCCTGTCCTTGCGCGGCAGCACGCCTCACCATAAACCGAAACCGAACAGCCCTATGACACACGCCCACCTCTCCGAGTTTTCTTCATAAAGACGGCAGCGGCCCAGCACAACTTGACGACTTTTACCACGTGGGATCCCGTCACGCCCCGCGCCTCTTCGGTCCTTCCTCGGGTGCCTCCCCCCGCTATCCGAGCTCCACCGGTCCAAGACCGAACGATGGCGTAAAGCAAAGGAAAACTGCACTTACGGTCATTTCTTTCTTGCCCCGCGCGTCATAACCTCACGTACAGCCACGAAGGATTGTCATCGCCTTCATCTGTTTTTCCTCATCTTAACAGCACCGCGCATGGGGCTTGGTACGCGCAGCTCGGGCACTCTTCAGCATGACGACGCAGCCGAGACGTAAGGCTTGCGTGGAGTGCCGCCAGCAAAAGGTCAGTAGCGCCGAGCACGCCGCGAGCATTGCGAAAACCCGTGTATTGATGCTCTCCAGATCCGTTGCGATGTCGAGCAGCACAAGACTCCACATGAGCCGTGTAGCCGCTGCAAGAAGATGAATCTGGAATGCCGCATCCTGCCCACTTCGACCCGCAACTTGCGGCAGACAAAGGCAGAGATGCGCCGCGAACTTGAAGAGCTGAGATGGAATATGCGCCAAGGCGGTGGTGATCCTCTATCTACTCCAGGGAGCTTGGGCGACGCGAGCTCGTTTAGAAGCCCTCACGATCCAGCAAACGGAAGCTTTTCGAATCCTAGTGCCCCAAGGACCGATGCAAGTATGAGCCCAGCATTAGAAAACGGACCAAATTCTGCCAAGGATGGAAAACCGACCGCAGCGGGACCAACCATCTCGAGATCTCTGGATGGCTTTGTGGTCGATGCACGAAAGATTGACGACTGCTTTGCGCTATTTTTTACGCAATATCACCCGCTCCTCCCCATCCTGGAATCATCACTCAGCCCGAACAGCGCGAACGGCTACTACGAACTATCCCCTCTCCTTTTTTGGTGTATAGTTGTCACGGGAGCGCGGCATTACCTCGAAGATCGAAGCATCCTTAACAAAGTGAGCCAGTCTGTAACGCCGCTTGCGTTTTCTTCTATGGCTCTTCGTGCCGCACCAATTTCGGTCATACAGAGCCTCGTCATCCTCTGCACGTGGCGGTTACCCACAAACTCCATGTACAAGGACATGACCCATATTTTCTGCGGCGCCGCAGTGCATCTAGCCACGCAGATTGGTCTGCACGTGACGGGAGTAGGCCAGGATTTTGCTCGCACGCCATTGAAAACAGACAAAGAACAAAAGATCCTCAGGGCGAAGCTATGGATGCAGTGTGTCATCGTATCAATACGGACAAGCTGTGCTGAAGGAATTCCACCGCTTGTAATAGCAGAGTCGTTCTATGACGGAGATGGGAAAGAACGAGAAGATCTACTCGTGTACATCCCCCCTGATCTGCAGTTCAACCACCAACTGCACATCATCTTACACAAGGCCATGGCGGCCATGGCGAGAACGGATATCAAGACAGCCAACTGCGATGCTAGAAACTTGCGGTCACTGATCGCCATTTTCGATTCGCAACTGCTGAGTTTGGCGGCTTCTTCACCAAGCGAGCTGGGTAAGCATTTCGATATTCCTGATCGAACGAGCATTTCCTGATTCTGCAGATTCCTTCCAACTGAATTGCGCGCGTATTCACGTTCTAGCCTTCCATTTCTTCGCACACCCAGTTAACCCTGGGCCGGACGCGGAATCGCTCAGCCGACTTTATTCTCTGTGCATATCCACCTTACATACCGCGCACGCAATGACCCAACAAGCAAATTTTGCGTTTATCTCACAGTCCTTCATCGACCGAACGGTCACGCTGGCCGGTTTCGTCATCCTCAAACTCACCCGCTCTCACCTCCACCAACATTTTGATCTTGCTGCTGGCGAACAGGCATACTACAATGCCGCACAGTTCAGCAAGGCCACTTCTCTGCAGAACGGCGACCTCGGCGAGCGATGCTGCCAAATCCTAAGGGATCTCTGGCAGAGCAACAGAGTATTTAGACAAAGAGATGGGAGCGTCGAAAGTCTAGGGATGCGATTACGAACGAGACTAAGTATGAGCGTTTCTTTCGACATGTTCTGGTACTGGCGCGAGGAATTTGGCCAAATGTACAACCCCTACAATGGCGAAGAAGGCATCCCCGCAAATGCCCAGACACAGCCCACGACTCCTGGTAAGCCATCCCTCCCCACTCCGCCCACGGTCATCACTATGCTGACGCATCCGGATGTACAAGACTACGAAAGGGAAATGACTGAGACAACAGCCCCAGCGATGTCGCAAGCACGCACAGTGACAGCCCCTCCGCAACCAATAAAGATGGACCCACATAACCTCCCGCTGCAGTCGATGGGCCAGTCGGTTCCGATGGGCTTCGATGGCGGGTGGGATGGAGAGGCGTACATGTTTCAACCGATGCTGGACCAGTTCCCGGATTACGAATGGGCGGCCAGCTTTGACTTTTCGCAAGACCAGAGCCAGATGCCGCAGATGCCGCATATGCCGCAGCCGGTGGATATGGGACCCATGAACGCGGGGCCGGCGGGATATCAGTACGGATGAAGAGCCGGACGACCGATTCCAGCAGTGCGAGGATAAGAGTCAAAGATTCGGCGATGTAGAAGTCTGTACCGTTGGCGGAGAGGGTGTTTCGCGCCCTGCTACGTGGAGCTGTATCGCACAAACGCAACGCGAGACAAGGGATTGCCAACACGTCAACGTAGATGCCAGCCACGCGAAACCTCTAACCAACATACTACCTGCACCGCAGGCAGCCCCGCGGTACAGAAAGAAATACCGGCGGGAGAGAAAGAGGCCTCGGCAGCCTTGCTCCCATAATATGAAGCGCATTTGAGGAATTTCCAGGGCATTTTCCAATACGGAAGGGGGAAGGCAGGGACATACCAAGGGAAACCATCTACGCGTGAACTGACTCGGCCGAGGGGCTGCTAGATTACAATAAATCGATGAATGAACTGAATATCTGAAATACATGATGATACTGTGTTGTGTTATTGAAAGTGATGAGAGGGAGGCGGGCTGTCAGCGTTACAACTAGTGTCCAGCCTGCGGAAAGGGTACGCTGCGTCTTGTCTGCATAATCATATCTTAGATAGGAATATTGCAGTTGCTAAGACTATGGGGATATGGTGTGGCGTTCGTTCTAAGCTTCTGGAGAAAACATGTTACTGTACCCGAAATCGGTTTTTCGTACAGGAGCACAGGGACTACACTGCCTCCTCTCTCCGAGCACTACCTCCCACAAACGAACGCACTGTCTAATATCGTAGTATTACCCCATACTGCGATAATAACTCAAAAAGCAGTCTTCGTAAGCCGCGTTTCCTCACCATTCCCCATCAGTGACTCGCACTCACAGAACCACCCCAAAAAAGTATGGACTTGCTGGGAATCGAACCCAGGACCTTTCCCACGCTTCCGTACTCCTGCAGAGGCAGTATACAAATGCTAAGGGAAAATTATACCACTAAACCACAAGCCCGTGATGTTGTATGACGATGACTGTGTATAGTTGGTACTTATACCTATTCGTTAATGTATCCACACAAGGTCGAGAGAGAACAGCGGATCAAGGGAGTAGGTCTAATTGCAGTGGGGAAAAGCTTAAGGAGGAGGGGGAAGTCCACTTGTGGGGATAGGCGGTGCAAATTTTCCAGCAAGGTTGGGATGGTGCGCTACTCCATACGCTAGACTACAACAAAACCAGTACCATGTATTCCGCAAACCCTACGACCCAACCTGCTCTACCAGGATATCTACCAAATCCTGAATCTTCGTTGTCTGACTCAGCATATGCATGAGCGGAATCTGGATGCGAAACGTAGTCGCAAGCCAACTGCGCAGCTCGGCAGCCACGAGACTATCAAGCCCGTACTGCGCCATCGGCCTGCTCGCATCGATGTCATCCACCTGCACACTCAGCAGCTGGCCTATACGTGCGATCACTGCCTCAGCAGCTATGGTCTTCTTCTCCGCTGGACTGGCGGCCAAGGTCATCTGCGCAACGACATCGGACTGCCGTTGAAAATCTTTGCTGGGAGATGAGTTGCGGCTCTTTGCTCGGTCGGAGATGGCTTGGACGACGGCTTGGAAGCGGGCGCTGGTAGTCCAAGTGATCTCTCTCATGCGCCCGTCTTCGAAGTGGGGTATGAAATTGGCTGGTTCCAGGCCGAGGACGACTTGCGAGGGGGAGAGGGGATCCAGCGTGGTGGATGGGTGCGCTGACGGGGCAAATGCCGCTTCGAGATGCTGGAGGAATTCGCTTTCGGAGATGCCGTACGTCGTTGTCCGTAGCAGCATCTGCTGGAAGCTCTGGGCTTCTTTCACGGACCCGATTTCGTTGATCAGCCCGAGGGCGAGCGAGATGGCGGCGTGGCCCGAGCTCTGTCGGTGCCTTGCGAAAGCGTCTTGGAAGGCATTGGCGGCTACGTAGGCCCCTTGGGACGCCGTACCTACCAAGCCGACTATGGAGGAAGTCATGACGAAGAAGTCGAGCGGGAGGTGTTTCGTAGCGTTGTGGAGGTTGATGGTCCCCGTGACTTTGGGAGCTAGGACGTCGTGAACTTGGGAGAAGCTGGAATTGTCGAAGAAGGAGTCCTGGACAGAAGTCAGAATGAGGCATGCAAGAAAGAAAGATCTGGATGGAGACTCACCCCTTCAACCATGGCAGCGTGGACAATGCCTTTGAGCGGACGTGTTCTCGGTATCTGCGATATGGCAACCGATAGAGACCCCAAGTCAGTCACACTGCATTGGACCACTTCCGGTGCCGCTCCCATGCTCTGCAGTTCTCCAATGATGCTTGAAGCCTCCGGACTCGTGGCTCCGCTGCGAGAGAGGAACATCAGACATCGAGCGCCGCGTTCGACCATCCAGACAGCTAGGCTACGGCCGAGTCCACCTAGACATCCTACGAGTAGATATGTCGCTTCAGGGTCAAAGGAGGCCCGTTTCGGTACTTGCATGATCTGCGTACATTAGCTGAGATGTATTGCGGTCCGCGAAAAACGGGTAACACACTTTCAGTGGCGCCTGGGGATTATCAAACGTTACTACCACTTTACCCAGGTGAACACCTTTGGAGAAAAATGCCATGGCCTCCTCGAGTCGAGAGAGGTCGTATGTCGTATGTGGATGGATTGGGCCAATAACTCCATCTACCCAGAGTTGCCTGAGTTCTGCCGTCAACCTGCATTGGTCAGCGTTTAGAGACCTTGTTCGTTGAGCTGCTACACATACCTTCCCACTAGCTCAGGCTTCTGGCGATAGAGCAGACCCAGGTCGAAAGAAGCAAATGTTGCATTCCGTTTGAATACGTCGAGTGGTAAGCTCCCAGAAGCCAGCACGTCTGTTCTCCCGACTTCGATGAAACGACCAGCAGGTGCAATGCACCGCCAGGCATCATGCATCGCATCTCCCCTTGCCGAGCTTAGTATCACATCCAGCCCATTGTAGCCTGTTGCCTGCAATAAGGCTTCAATGCCAGCTGCGTCTCGAGAATTGAAAATGCGAGAACCTGGAATACCAAACTCATCCTGGAGCAGCTTGCGCTTCTCGTCATTTCCTACCGTCGCGTAGACCGTCGCGCCCATCCTTTGAGCTAGGCGCAATGCCGCTAGTCCGAGGCCACCAGTTGCGGACTGAATCAAGATCGATTCGCCTGCCTCGAGACGAGCCAGATGGCGGAGGGCATAGATGGCGGTCAGGTACACCACGGGCATCGTTGCTGCATCGATGGTTGATGCATCATGCGGAATCGTCTGCACCAGTGAGGCCTCGGACCTTGTATAGTTGCCCATATTTCCAGGCACCAGACCGAAAACGCGGTCGCCGACATTGAGGGTGTTAACTGCAGAGCCGACCCTGGATACTACGCCGGCGGCTTCGGTACTGAGGTAGTTCAAGTCGAATCGGCCAGTGGCTACTGCGAGATCCTACAGAGACTGTTAGATATGGGATGCTGATTAGCGAACGCGATGGACTCTAACCTTTACGTTCAAGCCAATGCCTTTGTTCTCGATCTCCACCCAGTCGTCCTGCAGCGGTTCGTCAAAAGTGGGATCGCTACTGAAATACAGTGACGACAGGACGCCTGGTTGACGATAGTTTACTCTCAAAAAACCTTGACCATCCATCGGTCTCTCTTCAATGTTACTTTCGTATCCATGGCGCAGCCTGAACTGACGATTCAATTCCTCATCGGGCAGCAGGCGTTCAATGTAGGCAACACCGTCTTTGAGCTTCCATTCCGTGTCATCAAAGGTTCCAACGTCCTGCTCGACTTCGACTTGACTAAGAATCTTGTCGAGAATCACGTTCGCGGTTGCAGCGAAGTTGCTATAGTAGCTACTATCGATATCGATGAAGGCCGTCTTCAGCAGGGGATTCTCGGTCGAAATCGAACGCAACAAGCCCTTCATTACGGCCGACTCTGGACCAGTGCCCGCCGCCAGCCACATGATGTAGGAAGCTTTCCGGATGACGGCTTGGATCATCTGGAAGTGTGTCGCATCCCGGTGAAGTAGTGTCGAGCTTTCAATATCAACAAAGGAAATGATGATGGCGTTTTCAGAAACTTGTTCCGAAGACAGGAAACTCTTGAGACTCGTTTTGTATCCTTTATCTCTGAGCAGTCGGCTTAAGAGAGAAGCCAGAGGTGGGGGATAGTCACGGTAGAGTAACCAGATCACTGGTGGCTCAGTTGTCGCAGCATTGGACCGTGAGGCTGCTCGACTGGTGGTTAGCAAGATCCTTGAAAATGCGTCGTCGTTGCGACCCTATCCAAATTAGCGTGTAGAACTAAGGAGTAGTGATATACTGTAAGATGATCGCACTCACATCTTCCAAAGCTAGGTCTATGCCGGAGAATCCAGAATGTTCTAAGACACGTGACCAGCCAGCCTCATGGCTTGCAGGCGATCCCAGATTCCAGTTTCCCTGTAGGGAGCGAAACAGGATGTCTAATCCAGGCCTGGAATGCATGGTCTCCAACGATATCAGTTTCCCGCCGGGTTTCAACAGCGTGTGTATGTTATGCAATGCCGTGGCGGTGTCAGGTACTAAGCTGAGACTTCCTAAAGCGAGGACCAAGTCAAAGGAATGTGCTTCGAAACCCTGTGCGGTTGGATCTTGTGCGGTGTCCAACGGCTTGTAGGAAATACTGTCATTGTCAAAGTCGACAGTGTATTCTCTGGCTCGAGCCCAAGCTGTTGCGTTGGTGATTGTCAGATTCTCGAATCGTTTGAATGAGGTGTTGGCAGCCAGAGTCTCCAGTACATCAGTCGTAAGATACCCCAGCTCGCCACCTAGCTGAAGAATGCGCATTCTCGGAAGCTTGTGTGCTTGCAGGTCGAGTACGTTTCGCAACTGAGAGCGAGAAGTCTGAAAAGTCACGCCTGATGTGTACAGTCTGTCAAGTAGACCATCCTGGAGCAGGAGCTCCATGGTACTTGTTTCGGTGCTCAGTATGCGATCCAGGTTCTGGTGCAACCGGCTCAAACACTCGACTTCAGGTAAATCAGCCAGCTGTACCTGTAGCTCTTGAAGTAAAGACGCCTTCTGTTCAGGATGAGAGGGGTCGTCGCCCACGGCGTGCTTCCAAGACAGAGCCCAATCAGCGAATGGCTGATGGGTTCCGGCATGTCTTTTCAATGGGCCATCCTCAAGGCTCATATAGATATCAGAGATTACCAGAGCGCCGAACTTGTCGAACTTGACCTGCTTCTCCTGTGTTAGCCTTGGTGAAGGAAACAGGGTCACTGCAGACTCGGTAGTCAAGCTATCGATGTCGACTCTTTCAACCGACCTCCAATATGGATCACGAGCCATGTGTAATGACCCAGCAGTGTCAGATGCATTTTCTTCGAAAGTTACAAGACGTAATTCATTCAAGTCCAAGAGTGGCTGGCCGGATGGTGTATGTAGCTGTATTCGAGCTGCAGCACTGCGTATACCGCTGATATTCCCTTGTGCTATAGCCTGGGCCATCGAACCGGAATCAGGTTGAACCCAAATGGTGATATCTCCCCCTACGACGGGTATGAAAGACTTTTTGACGTTTTCGACTTGACCAGCGTGACAGGCAATCAGGCCCAGCTGGATACATGTATCTAGGGTAGCCGGATGTATTGTATATGAAGACTGGTCTGCGTTGATACCTGGGCCGGCGGGTGCAAGGGTTACAGAAGCTCCAACAGTGTTGGAACCATGGTAGGCCTGCAATTGAGAGAGGCCTTGGAAAGCCGGGCCATAGCCTAGTCCCGTTTCGGAGAACTTCTCATACCAGCGCGTAATATCAAGTGATCTTGAACGAGGGTCCATGCGAAGTCGCTGAGTCCAGTCTATTTTCGTTGATAGACTCTGGACGGAAATGCTGCCGGTACAGTGCTCCGTCCAGGTATCACTTTCCGGTTCCGCTGAAGCTATGCTGAACTTGAACCATGCTGATTTCTCTCTCGTAGTACCCATAGATACCCGCGTCAA